CCATGTAAAACTGGTGTAATATCAACTGAACTGACACCACCCCCAAGAATTCCTAGTGCAAGGTTTGTGGAGAGTGTTCATGTCTTAAACGAATTATCGTAATCGAACAAAATACATTACTTATTCCTACAGATACTGCCTCACTTGTATGCTTGACCATCGTAGCGAGTACAGGCTGGTACGTAACTCCTAGTGCAAGAAGAATAGTTCCACTGGAGTACAACTGTACGTTTGTGAGGACTGGGTGATCAGAGGGAAAACCTTTATGTGCTTTAAAGATGGAGAGAAAAGATGTGCAAGGAAGGCCTCTTCTTGACTTCATGCTTTCTTGCACGTGTCTTCAACTTTGGGCAAACAAGAGAGTCCCCTGGTAGTTCTCGTAGCGTTGTTTTGTCATGTGAAGATACATGAGCAGTGAAGTGAGCAAGAGAGGAGCAGTTGTGCTTAAATAGCGCAGGAGCAAGCAAAATGGATTCAGCTTACATAATACTAAAAGCTGAAAGCTGCTCCGAGACATTCTGCAACTCCTCCCACAGATGAGCTATAGCTAGAAAAATCCCATTAAAAATGAATTAAAATAACCTTTCCCAAGGTGGTGAACGATCCTCAGAAACCTCTTGTTCCATACTGAGAGCATAATTCTGATGTTCTTACTGGATTGAATAAAAGTCCCTCAATTCTCCGCCCTGATCTTGACAACTGGGGCACGTCTTAAAGCAGGGTCTGTAGACAAACATTAGTAAAGGGTTGTTGATGTAGGAAAAGGGGTTTAAATAGGCGATTGCTTTGAAACCTTTAAACTTGCTTGGCTATGATTTAATTCTTGTGTCCAATCCTAAAAGCTGTAATGAGCCTTGCAAACTGCATTGTCCTTTTGATCGGAGACTGTTAAGTTGTCTCTTGTTCTTTACAGAATTTTCAGGTGAGGCACGCTTTTTAAAGCCCTCGCCTAGCTTTCATTTTTTTCATGATTTAATTTGACAAAATCTGTTCTCTCTTCTAGATTTGTTATGCCTCTCCACAAAAATAAGACAATACTTCTTAAGATAGGTTTAAGTAGGAAAATGTAGCCACATCTAGCAGTATTATCCATTACTGAAGATAATCTGAACTTAGCAAGAAGCTACCGAGTTAGTGATTTTAGTGCTAGCTAGTGAGTCAGTGATTATTTTTTTTTTTTTTTGAAGAAAGTCAAAATCAGTGTACATTTCAAGCAAGATAAAAATGGAGGCACCATTTTGTTGCTCTCCTGGCTATGGACTGATCAGCCTCTGAAGTCCTGTTGCTGAAGTAATCAGGGCAACCTTGCTCCCTTTGAGGACTTGGTGTTTTTAGGGAATGGACTGACTTGCAGAAAATGTGTTAGCTAGTAATGATACCCCTACGATATATGGCGATTGAATATGGCGATTGAAACAATGTTAAGAGGGAGAAAAATTATTTTTAAAGTTTAGCTGCTTTAGCAACCTGATTTGCTGTTTGCCTTGTCAGAAGCTGGAAGAAAGGGCCGTTGGCAAATTGTTGAGTTGACTTTTGGATACAAGTCTGTATTTTTGCTAAATAATATGCTGGGCTCCTTATCAGTGATTTTTAGAAGAAATGGAAGAGAGGTTGAAATAATGGAGCTAACCTAGAAAAAAAAATAGTATTTCATGATTATTTTTTTTTTTGTTTTCCTAGTAGTTTACCTTAAGCCAGGTGTGTAGTGTTGGGGGGGGAAAAATGAGACTCAGTACCTCTGTTGAGGGTTTTCATTTATTCCTGGGGGGAGAGTTCAGCTCTGTTGAAGCACATCTGGGATTCTGGCTTGCCTGCGTTGGCTCCAGCAAGGATCGGAGGAATCCTTCCCTGGTATCTGTATGCAGCATTTAACCCATCACTGCGCGATGTGGCATCTAGTCTGTCACCCTGACTCTCTGCTGTTGCTTTGGATCTGCTTTTCCCCGGTTTGTGTAAACTCTGCTCTTAGGCTGCCCCCCTCTTCTTCAGGCCGGTGCAGTGAGAGCTCCCCCTCCTGTCTCAAGCCCCTGTGTCCATGGGCTGGGACAGAGGGACGGGGATGGACAGATGAGGGCCTAAGGATGGAGGGGGATAGAGTAGCATCAGTCCTGGCACCGGATTTTGGGTTGGAAAGCAGTTCTTTGGCAGCGCTCAGTGGAGTGCCTCGGGGTACAAAGGCTCAGCTAAGGGGACCGGACGGCGCAGGGGGTGCTGTGCCCTGGTCCGGGTTGATGGGACCTTTAGGAATCCGAAGCTTTGGCAGCTCTTGCATCTGCGTGAGGCAGACCGGCACCCTCGGGGGCCCGGGGAGGACGGCGGAGCGCTCGGGCGGATGGTCCCCCGCGGCTGCCGGGGCTCGCT